GGGTACACTTTCAATTTTACCTGGGAACTGAGAAACCAAGCAGTAAATTCATGAAAGGAATTACTTGATAATTCACTTTAATAGGGTCAGTGTTAGGTAGAAAGAGAAAGAACAAATTAAATATTAATTAGCATTTACTTGGGTTATGACTGCATATCTAATATTTCATATTAGTAATACTTCTCACCATTTTAATCCTTTTATTTTCAGGATTCAGTCAACTGGAGGCCAAATCCATTACACCCCAGATGATGTTGATGACTGGGATGATGATGATCCAGATGATGACTTAGATATATAGCACATCAGAAGAGTTCTATCAGTGTTTCAAATAGAATTTGTGGCATTCAGACTATTTATTTTAGTAGAGGTTATGTTATCTTATGAATTAGATTAGACAATCTAAAAACAAATTGTATTTTATTAGTTACACCCAATATCAGCTAATAACTTATATATCTGGTATCACATAGATGAAGCTAACAGTTTAGAGATCAACTTGGTAAAATCAGTGTCATTTTTATATACCACAAGATGATAGATGTGGCATTTTATTTCACAAGTAAAGCAAAGCACACAAACATAGTATTCAGGTCACCCATCAACAATCTGTCCCTAATGGTACTTATGGCAAGCTGGATTAGTGGAAATATTAAATCACAGAAGAATCACCTTGAAACGATACCTATCTCCTTTATACAAAACCTTTACCTCATTAACATCGGTGATGGTATGTACATTTATGTCATGCCCACTGTAATTTTAGCTTATTTATTATGTTTAAACACAGATGACTCCACAAGTGTGTAGTTATCAAAGAGAACAACTACTAGCTTTATTTGTTATTATTGTTATTATATATTTTATTGTTGCTGTGAATAACTCTAATAATCATACTGTCAGTAATGATAATAACAGTATTCATATGGATAGCATTAGAAAAATATTTTCTCCCAAAAACTCAAGGAAAGGGGAATAATTCTAATAATGTCAGAAACATCAATAACAGACAGTATCAATATTAATAGCATTAGAGAAAACATTTTTGGCAAAAACTCAAGGAAAGGTAAATCAGGTTTGGTGACATAGGTCTACTAATTAACTACTTGGTGGCTGAAAACTTGTGGAGCCATCTATTTGTAAAGATTCACAAAACAAAACTGCAGTGGACATAACATGTTCCCAAAAAAAATGGGTTAAAAGATCATGTAGATCAACAGAAGTTGGATGATAAAAGAACAGGATGCTTGGGCAGTCTGGCAATTACAGGCTAGACTTTAAAGAGATCCTTAACCCTCTAGTGTACAAAGATATTTCAATAAGTTTCTATGTTGTTTACGTAAGGATTTCTAGGAGTTGTTTCACCAACCCAGCCTCGAAACAATAATTGGCGTGTGGTAGCTGCTCACATGTGAAAACTCATATGTGAAAACTTATTAAGGACATGGTTTTGAGGAAAAGTTGAACTATTAGCATAATGGTGAGTCAGCTCCATAGCATATGGGACATATGTTTTCACAGGACCATAAATGAGCTTTGCAAGGTTTGCAAAGCATGTGCAAGAGGATCATGTAAATAATTTGACTGTTTATCAATTTGCATGACAGCCAATGATAATATGTCTTGTATTTGAAATATCAAAACAGAAATTAGCAACTTTTATTTAATTGATCATGGGATATGGTAATAAAAATGCCTGCATACACAATTTAAGCAGGCATTTAAGTCAGATTTTATTGAAAGTAAGTTGACTAGATTTTTATTTATTACCTTTATAGTTCATAATTCTTCAGGCAGTGAGAAGTGATAGTGGATACTACATATAAGCATTTGTGCATTTTGATGCCAGGCAAGGAAATCATTCAGATGGTTTAACAGTTCATGGTAGGTGTTAGGCAATACAGGCTTGTTGAAAATTAAGGTGAAAATAGAGTATTCCATATCACAGTGTGGGATTATCATGATGCAGTGGATTTTTGACATCCTCCTACATTATTTGTTGATTATTGTGTCCAGAGGAGAGCTAAGAACGTAATGTGATTGCAGGTGACTATTCATTGTGATAATTGCACTAAAGGAATCAAGCCAAGGAAATAACTGGTGTAATGGATGGTTAGAATTGGTCTGTGAGGGAGGGGCTAGTGATATTTTGCTTGAGTTATAGTGCTTAGGCTTCTACCTACTAATGGTACTCTGTCACTGTTTTTCCCAATAATTTTGCACTATCCAGTGGCACACTCTTGCAGACCACTGTATGGAGAGATAGGTTTGTGTTAATCTATCTATCTAGAAAGATAAGACTTGTAATAAAGCACAAAATATAACAGGCCTTAATTGGTATGACTGTTACTGTACACATACTTACAGCTTATGTGAAACTGTATTCACATTTCATATCCATTGTTATAAGCCCAGTACCCGTAAACATACATGCAGGAGACATCACAAGTTTTTGCTGTATTTGGCTTATTGTTCCATCTGTGGATTTTGAAAGGTAAAT